CTACTCACTTTCACTGAGGTTAACTCAGACAGAGACAGCAAGTAGAGTTTAGAAGGATGAGGGGGTGATCTGATTGAAACTTGTAGAATACTGAGAGGCCTGGAGAGATTGGACATGGAGAAGACATTTCCACTAGTAGGAGAAACTAGGACCAGAGTGAAGGGACAAACCTTTAGAGCTGAGTTGAGGAGGAATTTCTTCAGGCAGAGGGTGGTTAATCTATGGAACTTTTTCTCTCTGTGGAGGCTAAGTTATTGAGTATAGTTAAGACAAAGGGCTACAGGGAGAAGGCAGAAGAATGGGGTTGAGAAATGTACCAGCCATCATTGCATGGAGGAGCAGACTTGATGGGCCCAATGGCCTAATTCTGCACCTATAACTTATAGTGGCACGTTAACCCTCTCTGGACACACTTTCTCTCATTTGGCACACACACACATTTGGCTCCCACTCTCCTGTCATTTAACGTTGCTCTCTCCTGGTGTTGTTCAGCTCAAGCTGCCTCTTCATGTTGTTCACTGTACACTCTCTCTTACTGTTGTTTGGTGCATACATTTCTTTTGCTGCTGTTCAGTGAGTACTGTTGCTTGCTCTTGTTAAGCAGTGCTCCCTCACTGACATTTCACAAGCTGCCTCTTGCCTTTGATAGGCTGTCTTGCTCTTGTTCAGTGTGCATTTTCTCTGGTTTGGCATGTGCTCTTTCTTGTTATTGTTCAGCGTGCACTTTTACAGTTTCTCTTGTTTGGTGCTCGCTCTTGCTCTTATTTACCAGCCACTCTGGCTCATGTTCGCCCTTTCACTCACACATGCTGTTGCTCCTTCTGGCTTGCAGCACTTTCTCTTTCTCTTGTGAATTATCTCATGCACTTGCATGTGTGTGCTGTCTTTCAGCCTCTCATGCAATCTCTCATTCTCTCACTTATGTATAGCGTGCATACACATGAGTCTCTTTTTCATGTTTTCTTTCTTTTAGTAGTATCTCCTTATTTAGTTTAATATCTCTTATTTTGAGCACATTTCTGATTTTTTTTCTGCTTTCTCTCCATTGCATAAATAAACAACTTCTTGATAATTTTCCCATCAAAATACTCCTCTCAATGTTTATGCTTTAAATTCAGGATAGGGCTGCAATAGCAAAGGTTTGGAGGGATATGGGCCAAGCACAGGTAGGTGGGACTAGTGTAGTTTGGGAACATGTTTAGCGTAGACTGGTTGGACCAAAGGGTCTGTTGCCATGATGTATTACTCTATGACTGGAACTGGTGTTCTTGAGGAAATATGTTAGTGCAGTTGGGAAGGGTTTAAATTAAAACAGCAGGAGGATAGGAACCTATACAGGGAGATGGAAGAGAGGAAAACAAGCGCAAAAACAAAGGACAGAATGAGAAATAGGAAAAGTGATAGGCATAGAATTCAAGGGCAAGAAACATTCAGGGCCAAAGTACAAAATAATGTTATTGGGACTAAGAATGTTAAAAAGCCTTAAAGCGTTGTGTCTTAATGCACAGAGCATTCACAATAAAATTGGATGAATTTGTTGCACAAATAGATATAAACCAGTGTGATATTGTTGGGAATATGGAGACATGGCTGCAGAGTGACCAGGGATGAAAACTCAATATCCGGGGTATTCAGTTTTTAAGAAGGATGGATAAAAAGGAGAAGGTCAGGTAGCATTGCTGGTTAAAGAGGAAATTAACATAATAATGAGTAAGGATATTAGCTCTGGTTAAATGGAATTGGTATGATTAGAGCTAGAAACAAAAAGGAACGGAAGATGACAGCAGGAGTTCTATGTCGGCTCCTAAACTGTATTGGTAACATTAGGGAAGGCATTAAACTGGAAATGAGGGATGCAAGCAATAAAGAGAGCTGTAATTAAGGGCAACTTTAATCTGCATATTGATTGGGCAAATCAAATCAAATCAATAACAATACCATAAAAGAGGAATTCCTAGAGTGTGTAAGGGATGATTTTCTGAATCAGTACATTGAGGAACCAACTAGAGACCAGGCCATCCTACACTGGGTATTCTGAAACCAAATAAAGGAATAATTGGTGATCTAGCCATGCTAGACTTGTAGAGGAAGAGTGGCCATAATATTTTGGATTCTTCATTAAGAATCTTAAATAGTCTTCATTAAGAATCTACTATGAATCTTCATATTACTGTGAATCTTCATGGTACTATGAATCTTCATGGTACTATGAATCTTCATGGTACTAGGAATCTTCATGGTACTATGAATCTTCATAGATTCTGAGATGATGATCTTGAACGTAAAAAAAGGAAACTATAATGGTATGAAGCACAAGCTGGCTATGATAAATTGGGGAGTGTTACTGAAAGAGATGATGATGGATAGGCAATGGCATTTAATGAGCACATGGAGGAACTGCAACAATACTTTTTTTTTGTTTAGGAATGAACGAAAGAACTGCAGAGTCTGAAAATCGGAAACAAGAACAGATTACTGGAAAAACTATGTAGGTCTGGCAGCATCTGTGGAAAGAAAGCAGAGTTAACATTTGGAGTCCAGTAACCATTCCAAAGCCCAGTTCTGAAGAAGATTCACTAGATCCAAAATTTTGACTTTGCTTTCTCTCCACAGTTGCTGCCAGACCTGCTGAGTTTTTCCAGCAATTTCTGTTTTTGCAATTGTTCATTCCCATTTGGCACAAAACTAGGATGAGAAAAATGGTTTGACCAAGGCTAACAAGGGAAATTAGAGATAGTGTTAGATGCAAGGAATGGGCATACAAATTGGCCAAAAAGCAGATGGAAGGACAGGAAGCAGTTTAGATTTCAGCAAAGGATTGGTTAAAAGTGGGGTAAAATTGAGTATGAGAGAAAGCTTGTGGGGAAACATACAAATTGATAATAAAAATTGCTATAGGTGAGTGAAGAGCAAAATTAGTGAACGTAAATGTAGGTCCCTTACAATCAGAAACAGGGCAAGTTATAATGAGGAACAAAGAGATGAATTTTAAATACATAGTTTGGCTCTGTCTCAGAAAAGAGGACACATGTGCCAAAAAATGTTAGGGAATTCAGGGTCTAGTACAGGGAGGAGTTGAAGGAATTTGGTACTAGAAGGGAAATAGCATTGAGGAAATTGATGGGATTAATGATCAATAAATACCTAGGCCCTGGTAACTATATCCCAGAGCACTCAAGGAAATGGCCCTAAAAATAGTGGATGTGTTGGTGGTCATCTTTCAAGTAAGGATTGGAGGGTAGCTAATGTAACCCCATTATTAAAGAAAGGAGGTAGAGAGAACACACAGAATTACAGACCATTGAGCCTTGCATATTTGGTGGAAGGGGAGGAGTGTAATTCTGGAATCCATCACAAAAGACTTACTGGCAGAGCAGTTGGAAAACTACAGTAATTGGAGAGACTCAACATGGATTTACAAAAGGGAAATCATACTTGACAAATCTACTTTTGAGGATTTTTTTGAGGGTGTAATTAGTAGCTGTAGGGTTGATGAAGGGGGGGCCAGTAGATGCGGTTTACTTGGACTTTCAAAAGGCTCTGGATAAGATCCCACATAAGAGAATAGCATGTAAAGTTCGGTTGCACAGGATTGGATAAACAGCTGGTTGACAGACAGGAAACCAGGAATAGGAATAAACAGGTCTTTTTCCAAGAGGCGGGCAGTGACTAGTGGATGCTACAGAAATAAGTGTGATGACACCAGTTATTTACAATATATGTTAATTATTTAGATGAGGAAACTTAATGTAATATTTCCAAGTTTGCAGATGACGCAAAATTGGGTGGGAGGGAGAACTGAGGTGAATACACAGTTGCTTCAGATTGATTGACTTGGACAAGTTGAGTGAGTGGGTATTGCATATCAGATGAAGTATGATGTAGATGAATGTGAAGGTATCCACTTCAGTAGCAGATGATTAAATGAATGGTTAGAGTTAGGAAAAGGGATTTGCAATAAAACTTGGGTGTCCTTGTACATCAGTCGCTGTAAGTAAGCATGGTGCAACAGGTGGTGAAGAAGTCAAATGGTATGTTGGCCTTCACTTAGGATTTGAGCATGGGGACAGGGATGCCTTGCTGTTTGGGCCTTGGTATATTGGAGTATTGTGTGTGTGCAGTTGTGATTTCCATACCTGAGGAAGGATGCTGTAGTTACTGAGGGCATGCAGTGAGTTCAATGAACCTGACTGCTGGGGTAGCAGGACTGATATAAGAAGAGAGACTGGATCAATTAAAACTATATTCACTGGAGATTACTGGAATTAGGGAGGAACCTCATAGCAACCTATACATTTCTAACAGTAATTGACAGGATATATGCAGGAAGGATGTCCCTGATGATCAGGGAGTTCAGAACCAGGGGTCACAGTTTAAGGATATGGAGTAGACCATTTAGGACTCCGATGAAGAGAAATTTCTTCACCCAGAGAATGAGAGCCTGTGAAGTTGTCTGCCATGGAATGTGGTTGAGTGATTGTTTGCAAGAAGGAACTAGGTATAGTTCTTAAGGTTAAAGAGGTCATAGGGTGTGGGAGTTGGGTGATCAGCCTTGATCGTATTGAAAGGTAGAGCATGCTCAAAGGATTGAGTGGCTTACTCCTGATCCTATTTTATCTGTTTCTGTGAAGCTTATTTTCAGGAAAAATGTGCTGTTTTCATGTGGACAGATATTTTTTACTGCATGACATGATCTTGCTTTTTAAGTATCATTGACATTTCAGCTGTTGCTATGTTGCGTCTATGTTTTAATTATCCTATAACCAATAGTGATGGCTTGATTTAGAGAAGGGAATGAGGAGTGTGCTGGGACTAAAGAAAGACTAAGGAAAATGGGGAATCAATTTGTCGATAGTGAAGGTAAAAGTAAGAAGTGAAACTCGTTGGTGGTTCCTCTATACCAAAGCCCCCAAACTCAATTTGAATATTTTAAGCAATTTATTATTTATTCAAGGGAAGCAATTAAGGTTTCACATGACTTTTGTTTTTTCCTTTCATAGTTCAAGATCTGGCACCATATGTGGAAGCTTTCGATGTTGTGTTGGCAGGTCCTGTTGCAGATTTTATGAAACACAGCAAGAATCTTGGGGAAGATGTGGAGAAACATGTAAGTAGTCAAATCTGCACTATTCTAGGAAGCTGACCTTGACTTGATTATGTAGTCAATTTCCATACATTAATGAATCACATTCTTTTCAGTTGTATTGATCATCAGTAATATAAGTTTTACTATATTTTGTGCAATCCAAGGTCACTTTCATGGTTCTGTGGTTTGCTGTTGGTTCGTTGTAGTAATTTGTCCCATTTTCAGATGGGTTATCCTGTATTCCCTATAAAGTTTTATGTTTGTGTACACACTTTGGTTTTTCACAGACCACAGTTAAAGGTCACATGAACTGACGTAAGCCTGTGGATCTTTTCAACACATTTACATTATGTGGAATCCACTAGACAACAGCCTTTCTCACTCAACTGGTGTTTATTGTCAACACAAGAGATGTCCCATTCCACTCCCGTACATCTCAGTTGTCCTCGTTTTTCAAGGACCGTAACTTCCCCCCCGCTCAGTGGTCGAGAACGCCCTCAACCGTGTCTCCCACATCTCCCGCAACTCATCCCTCACACCCCGTCCACGCAATAAGAACCAAAAAAGAATCCCCCTCGTTCTCACATACCACCCCACCAACCTCCGGATCCAACGCATCATCCTCCGACACTTCCGCCATCTGCAATCCGACCCCACCACCAAAGACATCTTTCCCTCCCCACCCTTATCTGCTTTCCGGAGGGACCACTCTCTCCGTGACTCCCTTGTCCGCTCCACACTCCCCTCCAGCTCCACTATACCCGGCACTTTTCCCTGCAACTGCAGGAAGTGCGACACCTGCCCCCACACCTCCTCCCTCACTCCCATCCCAGGCCCCAAGAAGACTTTCCACATCAAGCAGATGTTCACCTGCACATCTGCCAATGTGGTATACTGCATCCGCTGTACCCAGTGTGGCTTCCTCTACATCGGGGAAACCAAGTGGAGCCTCGGGGACCGCTTTGCAGAACACCTACGCTCGGTTCGCACTAAACAACTGCACCTCCCAGTCGCGAACCATTTCAACTCCCCCTCCCATTCCTCAGACGACATGTCCATCCTGGGCCTCCTGCAGTGCCACAAAGATGCCACCCGAAGGTTGCAGGAAGAGCAACTCATATTCCGCTTGGGAACCCTGCAGCCCAATGGTTTCAATGTGGATTTCACAAGTTTCAAAATCTCCCCTCCCGCTACCACATCCCAAAACCAGTCCAGCTCGTCCCTGCCTCCCTGACCTGTTCTTCCTCCCACCTATCCCCTCCTCCCACCTCAAGCCGCACCTCCATCTCCTACCGACTAACCTCATCGCGCCCCCTTGACCTGTCCGTCCTCCCTGGACTGACCTATCCCCTCCCTAACTCCCCACCTACACTCACCTTTACTGGCCACACCCCGCCTCTTCGACCTGTTTGTTTCCTCTCCACCTATCCTCTTCTCTATCCATCTTCTATCCGCCTCCCACTCTCTCCCTATTTATTTCAGAACCCCCTTCCCCTCCCCCTTTTCTGATGAAGGGTCTAGGCCCGAAACGTCAGCCTCTCTGCTCCTATGATGCTGCTTGGCCTGCTGTGTTCATCCAGCCCTGCACCTTGTTGTCTCAGATCTCCCATGTTAATTACCTCCTCCCACCTTGAGCCAGCGCTGCTGTTGCTGCTTTAGCTACTCCTGCCAGAAGATTTTCTGTTACAACGTGCCATACTTGACTGTCTTGCTCCGCACTTATACATCCATTGTACCTCGTATGCAACCACTCTGAGACATCCATCGTTCACCTATGCTTGGGTCGAATCTTCTTTCTGCTGCCTTCCACTTTGTCCTCTAGCATGGATTTCTAACTTTTCAGTTCTGGTCAAATGGCTGAAATTTTGACACATTTGTTTCTGGATGTTAATGTTTTAAGTTCTTTTGCTCTTGCAATTTCAAATAGCTCTTCACTTGTTTTATGGTCTGTGTATAGAATTTTTAAAATCTCAACACCTACATCTTAAAGGCCTCTAATTTCATCCACAGATTTGTATTCATTGCCCAGGTTTGAGGCATACAGGAACATTGATAGAATGTAGCATCCTATGAGTTTATTCCTTGTTAGATATTTGAATTTTCTTACTGTTAATGTCTCCTTCACCTTCACAAAATTACTCTGGCAATCTCTATTTTCTAACTTCTGTATCATATCTGTTATCTTCTGTGATCATTTGTCCTAAATAGCTTATCTACTTGTTCCAGTATGACATGTTTTAGTTCAATCTTCATTGTAGCTTCTTCTCATTAATTCCTTCTAAGTGACATTGTTTTTGTCTTTTTAATATTCATCCTCAATCCATATTCTAAACTTCTGGATTTGACTTGATCTATAATGTTGTGTAAAGCCTTTCTAAATTGGCAAATAGAGCTGTGTCATCACTGTGTCACAATTTTAAGCTCTTGCCTCCAATGTCTACCCCTTCTAATGCATCTACTTCTCTAAATGCTTGTTCTGTGTAAAGATTGAATAATTTTGGTGACAGTTTCCAGGCCCGTCATACTCTTCACTTGAGACATATCAAATTGTCCCTCTTCTAGCCTGATGTTTGCTTTTGGTCCCATTATAGTCCAGATAAATTTCATATCTTTACGACTAATGATATTGATCTAATAGATCATAGAATCCCTACAGGTGTGGAAACAGGCCCTTCGGCCCATCGGCCCATCAAGTCCACACTGACCCACAGAGCATCCCACCCAGACCCATCCAACTATAACTCACCTAATCTACACATCCCTGAACACTATGGGCAACTTAGCATGGCCAATCCACCTAATCTGCACATCTTTGGACTGTGGGAGGAAACCGGAGCACCCGGAGGAAAACCACACAGACACGGGGAGAATGTGCAAGCTCCACACACAGTTGCCCGAGGGTGGAATCGAACCCAGGTCCCTGCCGCAGTGAGGCAGCAGTGCTAACCACGGAGCCATCGTGCTGCAGAAGTAAAATTAAGAAACGTTTATAGTTTTGTTGAAAAAATTTTCTTAAATTAACAAGATGAATATCGCACATATTGTGTTCAAAGTCAAAATTAGCAGTAAAAGAAAATGCAGTAATATCTAGGTTTGTGTTATGTTTCATGAAAAAGGTGAATCTGATTTGTGAACGGTATTAGTCTGCAATTCTTGTGAATATTAATGAGCAATCAAAAGGAGCAATCAAAGGGAGAACATGAATGGCATTTTGGAGAACAGACGAAACCTATGTACTGAGAGGTCAGTGAAATGTAGCTGGAAAACATTTTGGTTACAAGACAGACAATGAAACAACAGGGTGGATGGAATTTATGAATTTAGGAATAGGCTTGATATCTAAATGAATTTGGTTCAGGTGAGCTTAGAACTAGAACTCATAGTTTAAAGATGGACACTTTGGAGACAGATCAGATCAGAAAGCTACGATATACTTTCTTATGGTGACATCATAACATGTGATGCTCTATTATAGAGACAGTATTAGTCTATCAGAGTGTGTGGATCGATGTTTCATGAGACCCAAGTGATAACAAATGTGTGAATAGTAACACCAAAAATTCCAGGCTGCAACATCAAGTCTATTCTATGTTAGTATCCTCCAAAGTTTACTGGAGTGGAAGCAGTTGCATCCCAGAAATGCCCCAGAGTGTATCTATTACAGGAAGATAAGTCTATTGCATTTGGTTTTAAAGCTTTCAACAGCTCAGGCAAACAACTCCAGCATAGAAAAGGAAAATCAACCCTTAGTTTTCAGAATACAGTGGCTTCACATGTAGCTGTTCAGGAAGCACTCTACGGTTCATACCAATCTCAAGCTGGAAATGATTGGTCAAAAATCTCTCTCAAGTGCATCTCCACGACTACAGCATCCAATTTGAAGGTCAAGTTGTCAGGTACAATGCAAACCAGGCTCACAGAAGACTATTCTTGATGCTCTTAGCAGACTTTCAAATCCAACTAAAAGCAAAGATAGTGTCCATGTCAATCTCATTCAGTCTCATTCATTTTGGTCATAGCCAAGCATAGCAGATTCTGGAAGCTACTTTTGATGCCCAGCTACATCAACTCAGAATCATCAGAGCATAGCCCAAACACATTCAACAAATCCCTGAGTGAACACCTTTCTGGTCATGCAGAAATAATGAGGACTATCTTGCAGAATGTAATGTACAAAGGCAAACAAGTGATTAATCCACAAGCTCTACATTGTGATATGCTTTACTATATACACATGGGTCACATGTTCACAGAGAAAAATCAAGACATCGGCACGTGAATCTACCTATTGGCCTGACATTAGTGAACTAATCAAGTTGTGTGAAACATGTCAACCTCAACAACTGGAAGAGCCACTTATTCCACACTGAATTCCTTCTGAGCCGCGGCACAAGATTGGAACTAATATTTTCTATGTTCAAGATACAACTACGTCTTGGTGACTATTTCACCAAATTCTTTTTTGTGAGACAAATTAAAGATTACACGCTGAAAACGTTAACTGCCATATTAAGTACATTTGATGTTTCCTCACAAGTCTTCTGATTATGGTATGGAGTACAAATGTGCACCCATTCAAGATATGTACAGGAAATGGGCTATTCAACCCTAACCTCCTTTCCCCACTATTCTTAATCTAATTGTCTCACAGAACGCATGGTACATGTAGTGAAGCCCATGATCATTAAAAGCAAAGATACTTGCCAACATTTTGAGATAGCTATGTTAAATTTACGTGGTGCTTCTCAACACAGTGGTTTACACTCACCAGCAGGCATCTGTCCTTTGGAGGAGAGATACACAGTTCTTCCATCAGACACTTACTATTCAACTACCTACATTATGCACTGATAGAAAGAAGGGGAGAAATGGTGTAAGAGCCTGATCAGAGACCATACTATCATACCAATGTGACCACAGAGAAAGCACCAGAGTTTGAGAACTTTGAACAAATATGTGGGTTCACAGAAAGGTACTATGATGTTGAGTCCAATCCAAGTTATACAACATTGGTACAAATC